TTTTCATGGCAAGTTGCTGGCCGGTGTCCCATTCTATCGAGGCCATTTCTGAACTGATATGTTGGGAGCTACGCTACGGATGTAGTTCAGTTCAGTTCATACAGTGCTTGCTAGCATGGCTGAAGCCCCGGGTTACATTTCCAGCACCGCATAACCTGGACATGAGGGTATTGGGGAGGTGGAGGCAGGAAGTTTAGAAATTCAGGCCCATTCTCGGCCACGTATAGTAAGTTCCAGGCCAGCCCATAATATAGGGGACCTGGTATCAAAATAAACAAACCAACCAAACAAAAATAAATGGATATAACATGTTATTTTGGGAAATGATGGGAATATTCATAAGTGGCATAGAGGCTATAGAAGTTGAACGCTCTTCAACAGGCACAAAAAGAGTGTGCTGGGATCAACGGTGGGTAATCTATAAGCACAGGTGTCCTTTCTTGGTTGCTGTCTAGACTGTGAGCTGCTCCCAACACGTGTAGGGAGAGGAGGAATTCCGGTGTATACATTGCCCTGAAACACTGTTTGATTCATTAACCTATGAGCTCTGTGAATCAAAATTTGGTTGCACACATGATCTTGGAGAAGGCCAAATTCCTGACTCACTGAGCCACTTGGATAACACTACAGAACTGTCTACATCCTTAGCCGTCTAGGGCTGTTTGGCTCATTCAAACCTCTTTTCTGACAGCTCTGAGGAACAGGTACTCCAACATCTTTATTCTGAATGTCCAGGGTGTGCCACATGCTTTCCTTGGTCACTATCATCATATTCTTGGCAAGCTTTTGGTTTCTGGGATGTTCTAAGAGACATATAGAGAACTTAAGTAACAGAGGACACCTGCTGTGGAAGTGACTTTAATACTAATGGTGGAAAGACACAAGATGTCTTGTCTTTTTGTTTTGCTGTTTTAGCTTCTGCCAAGCCTTTTCTAGTACTGGCATTGCAACTCCTAGGTACAAGGTGGGTCATTTAGATGAAAGTTCTTGTTTTTCAAAATGAGCTCCATGACAACTATTGCCAAACCAATAGGGAAGAGAATCTGTGTGTGTGTGTGTGTGTGTGTGTGTGTGTGTGTGTGCATGCATACATACATACATACGCATAGATATATAAAAAAATTTTGTAATCTGGGATAATAATTACCATTATGGTCACACTTGCCAATTCAAGGGCTGAGGATATAGCTCAGTGGGAGAGTTCTTGCCTACTGTGTACAAAGCCCTGGCTCCCATCCACAGAACCCTCCCTTTAATTTTTCCATTGATCTAATGATGGTGGCACACACCTGTAATCCTTGGGTGGATGAAACTCGAGGATTATAAATTCAAGGGCAGCTAGAGGCTGTATAGCAAGGCCCTGACTCAAAACAGAGCAAAAGAGAACCTTGCCACTTCAGAATCTACTAGTTGAGAATTATTAAAGTAATTAATTTCTTTGATATAGAGCTGATGTTTACATTAGGAAACACTTCCCATCTAGATAGTGAAAATCAGATTTGGGGGAGAATGTTTACTTTCTAAATACATTTGTCTTAATGTTAGAGCAACATGTGGAAATATATTTTTGATTTACCTGATTTTTTTTTTAAACCTAAGCCTTTATTAGCTCTAGGTTCTTGGAGGTCTCCCTCCCTCCCTCCTTCCCTCCTTCTCCCTGTAGCCCAGCTGGCCTGGAACTCACTAGACCAGACTGGCCTTGAACTCAGCGATCCACCTGCCTCTGCCTCCCCAGTGCTGGGATTATGAAGGCGTGCACCACCACGCCTGGTGGTGAGTGGAACTGAGGTGTCTCATACATCTCACACTGCCACCTCTGTAGGAGGCTCTGCCAGTCTGGTTTGAGGCCCCAAAGGTGGGAGGAAAGGTGAAAGCCTTGCACATCGCTTTTCCTCAGTAATCTGGGGACACTTTTCCCTACCCCAGTCCTTACTGCTGAAACTCTACTGTACGGTGCTGGACAGAGGGTAGCCCTGTGGTGTTGAAGCACCTTGGTGGGGCTCCTGCAGTATCTTCCCTTTTGAAAATAGGTTCTAGTGGTGGTTGGGAAGCATTAGTGGCCCAAGCCTGAGTACCAAGCTGTCACCTGTACCATCCAGTTCATAGGCTGTGCTGAATTCTGAAGCTGAATTCAGAAAGCTTCCAGAACACAGGTTGTAATTAAATTAGTGGCCATCTATTTTCTTTTGGAACTCTTTATAAATCAAGAGGGATTTTGTTTCCAAATTTTGGGGTTTGCACTAACCCAGAGGAACCTTGATGATTTTAAAAATACTAGTGCTCTTCATAACACTCAGAGGACCTCACTGGAAAACTGTCCTCTCATTACCTGTTGACTGAGTGGTATAGGCTTTTCCAGAGAGTGCATGGTCCTGCCTGTGAGCTGGGTAGAATCCAATGCCTCAGATTATGACCTTACCCAGAGCCCAGCCACTGACCGTCTTCTTTGCCATAGCAATAAAGAGGAATCATTAAGCTCTTGATCATTTTGACATGGAAAAAATATAGTCAAAGTGCATTTTGGTCATTCTGGACCCAAATAGCCTCTCTATGCTCATTACAGAAAAAAGAAGCCAAAATATTCCAATTTCAATGTTAGTTTAGGCTAAAGATTTCATGTACTCTAGTCACACACACCCCACTCCCATCAAAAGAGAGCCTGCCGCTGTGTTCAGTGCTGTAGTGGCAACATAGTAGGGACCAGCAAAGGAGAGATTGGTGTTGAGCAAGGTGGAAAGGAGATGGCTGGAGGATATGGGGCTAGACATTGATCTTGAGTGATGGTCAGATCTGGTAGGATGATATAGAAGGCAGAACTGTGACTCCTGGCATTCCATGTTCTGGTAATGCATGACTCAAGGTGCAGTGGCACTTGGCTGATGGGTGTTTGGTCCTTTAGAAGAATTTCATGTCCAGTAGAAGGCCTTCAAATGATTTCCTCTTCTGTGATATCTTACAAAAGAAAGATCAGTCTTTTACCCATGAGTCTCAGATTTTGTTAGCTAGGTTCTACCTGTGTTGTTATTGCACAGTCTTTGGTGAGATGTGTGCTTATCTTGTAGTCATAGCTGGCACATAGTACAAGGAGGCGAGCAGACCCAGTTCCACCACTGGTTACTGTATGACTTTGAAAAGCTATTTAGTGTCTCTGACCTTCCATGTCAACATACATTTAAAAAAACATCCAGCACCTTCTTCTGAGATTAGATCAAATGAAGTAACATGTACAAAGGGCCCCATATAATACACGGCATTTAGGAGAGCCGGGAGTTGACTAATAAACCATACTAGATGATCATAACAGAACATAATCATGTAGGGAATAGATTATTTGATAGATATTAGTGCTGAATATTCACACAATATAGAGTGTATGATAATAATGCAATATTCATAACAAGCAGACTGTAATAAGTTGAATTTGGATGAAAAACTACTCTTTCTTCCAAAGCACCTCCATTTTAAGAGTGATATTTAATAACATACTTCAGAGCCCAGACCCAGGATGCCAATGACCATCTAATTCCAAGTCCAGCTGTGTGATTTTTAAGCGAGTCACCCAGTCTCCTGTCTCCAGTGCTGTCTGTGTTCAATAATGGAGGAACCAGCCTCATTGCTGAGTGAACTTGCACATATATCTCAAGCACTCAGTGTGAGAAATGCCTCCTCAAGGTTGGCTGTGGCTGCCGGTCTGTAGTACAGAATACCCCAGCCAGAAATCCACCTGTCCTGTGGGGCACAGACTCTAACATTCCATTTTGTTTTTATCGCCATTCTTTCTTTAGCTCTGGGTCAAAAGACTGGACAAGTAAGTGCTTCTCAAAAACAGATACCGAGTGTGACCTCACGGATGAGATTGTGAAGGACGTGCACCAGACTTATGTGGCAAAGGTCCTATCTGTCCCATTGAATGGCACCCATTTTGCTGGCGACCTACCCTATACGAACTCCCCGGAGTTTATACCGTACAAGCAGAGTAAGTTGCTTGTTTTGTAGTGCTTTCAATTCTTGTTCTAAGCTTCTGAATATTCTTGTGCCTTGTGACCCCTACTGGCCATAATATCCATATATGTATATTTTTAAAGATATATATATATTTAAATATAGGTAATGTAGATCATCTTTATAAATAAGTCTCTCACTCTCTGCAGATGTGGCAGGAGGTTCACAGAGTGTGAGCTTGGGAGTTGACCACTGTGTCATCTAGTAACTTTCTCCTCCAATCTGCCCTCAGTCCCAATCAGTAACCAGTTGGAGGGAGTGTGTGTAAATCCACCAAGGCTGAGGCTGTAGCATTTCCCCAGATAGTCTGTCAGGATACATGTCACATCCTGAATGTCCCATCCCCTCATCAGACCAGAAATCTAGGATTTCCCCCAAACAAGCACGACTCTGTGGGGAAGCCCACGCTCTCCCCTGTGCCTATAATGAGGCTGGCTGCCCTTCAACCAGCTGAGTTTCATTTGATTCCATGATGCACCAGCACCTGCCAACTCTCCTCCTGCTTCCCTGTGCCGTGTTTTAAAGTGGGAGTGCTTTCCTCCACACCCAGTGTGCTAGCCTGGCATCGAATAAGGGAATGCAGAGAATTTGTACCAAGTAAGAATTCTTTTTTTTTTTTTTTTTTGCATCACTGTAGTTCAGAAGTAAGTAGACATTTTGTAAGCACATACAGCGTACTAAGAAGACCGAAATCAGCTTCTCTTGCAAGGCCTGCTGATTAAAATGAGAGGGTCATGCGTGTCATGGTATTTCTGTCTGTGTCCCTCTGACTGCCTGCTCTGTAAAGGGACGGTGAAGAACAACTGACCAGTCTTTTCCTGCTGGTCTTCTCTGAGGGTGCAGTTGCCCTGATGAATGTGGCTGCCTTCCCAGGGTTCCCATTGACGAGCCCCTCTCTTCAGACTCCTTTGTGTTTTTACCTGTGTCTCTGCAGATATTTCAAGGGTGTTATGGGAGAGTCACTGATGATCATTTTCCCAGTCAGTGACATTTGTTATTTCTCTTAATAGTCATGAGCTTTCTGTAATCCAGTCCAAGTCATTTGTTGTACTAGATCGAAAATACTACACACACACACACACACACACACACACACACACACACACACACTCTCTCTCTCTCTCTCTCACTCACTTTTGTCCTGTAACTTACGTAGAGTGGAGACTTACTTTACCACCATGCCGCCAAAGCGTGGATGATATCAAAGGTACTACACAACCCAAGAGGGTAAAACCGATTCGTTGATTGACCAAGGACATTTCCTGGGCTTTCCAGCCCTTTATTTATTGTAGTTAAAATATGGAATCCTGGGCATGGTGGCGCACGCCTGTAGTTCCAGCACTTGGGAGGCAGAGGCAGGTGGATCTCTGTGAGTTCAAGGCCAGCCTGGTCTACATAGTGAGTTCCAGGACAGCTGGGGCTACAGGGAGACCCTGCTTCAAAAAGACAAATGAATAAATAAATAAATAAATAAATAAATAAATAATAAGGAATCCTGTACACTGCATTGTTCAGATAGTTGCCATTTAACCATATGTGGCCACCAAACAGTTAAAATATGGCTAATGTTGCCAAGGTGAAATACATATTCAATACTGAAAAATGTAAAATATTCCACAACGTGTTTCTACCAATTATGTTAAGATGATAATCTATTAATAGATCTATTAAGGTATATTATTAAAAGCTGCCCCCTTTTACTTTTTCTAATATAAAAGCGGCTCTCATTATCTCCCCCAGAGGACTCAGCTCTGTGGCCACCACTGCTCCTGCTACCTGGGAACTGATTCTGGGCAGGCATTTTTAAAAAATATTTTATTTATTATTTTATGTGTATGAGTGTATTGCCTGCATGTAAGTGAGTGCACCCATGTCGTGCAATGCGGCAGAGGTCAGAAGAGGGGTCCGGAGTCCCCTGGAACTGGAGTTAAGGACAGTTCACAGCTGCCATGTGGGTGCTGGGAATCAAACCCGGGTCCTCTGTAAGAGCAGTCAGTGCTCTTAACCGCTGATCTGGGCAGGGATTTTTAACTGTGATAACCAAGTGAACTTTTCTGTGTATTCATTCATAAGTTCCAACCAAGCTCATTTTTTCCATTTCAGCAAAACTCGGACAGCCAAGAATTCAGAGTTTTGAACGAGTTGGGACAATACTGAACGTGACAGTCGAAAATTCACCCACAGCAATCAGAAGGAATGGTACATTCGTAAGCCTGCGGGAAGTTTTTGGCAAGGACTTAAGTTATATACTCCATTATTGGAGAGCCACAAGTACAGGAAAGGTGAGAGATTTTTCATTTATTTTTATGGCTTGTTTTACAGATCCTTGACTCTAAAGTCCACTTCTTCCCCAATAAAAATATAGAGCAACAGAGGTGTTTGACAGGGTGGTGTGGACAGAAGATCCTGGTTCCACCTGTGACTTCCGAGCTGTCTGTCTGGTGGCATTAGACGGGTCCCTTCAGAGACTGGGGTTTCTCAGCCAATGGGCTGGGACAGATTATCTCTTTAAGTGTCTTGTCCTCTCTCATATCTCATATTTATTCCTCTGTGGAGGATCCCAGAGACAGAACTGGCTTTTTATTAGTTAATTCATTTGTGTATGTGTGATACTGGGATTGTTATCCAAGGCCTTGCACATATTAGGCAAATACTCCACCACTGAGCTTTATCCCCAGCCCCTAAATTTGCTTCCTTCAGTGATTCCATCTTTGTTTTCCTAGAGAGAATTAAAAAAAAGGGCTGAACATAGTTGCATGTGCCTAAATTGGATCTTTTCAATCTTGGTAAAAGGTATCCTTATCAATCAGGGGTTACTGATTAGTTAAATCATTTCTAATCCATCATACGCCAATGATGTCCAAATAGACTTTGCTTAGAACTCAGGTTTTGACTTCCATGGTGACTTAATAAGGGGAAAGAATTCAATCTGAGTCTAGGTGAATTAAGAACTCTTTATTTTAGCTGGATGTGGTAGCACATGCTTTTAATTCCAGCACTCAGGAGACAGAAGTATGTGGATCTGAGATTGAGGCCAGCTGTGGCTACAGGGAGATCCTGTCTCAAAACCAACCAACCAACCAACCAACCAACCAACCAACCAACTAACCAAACACAAAACCCCAAACAAAACAAAAAACAAGAACTCTTTATCTTTTCACAGAAAACAGCCAAGACAAACACTGATGAGTTTTTGGTTGATGTGGATAAAGGAGACTACTACTGTTTCAGTGTTGAAGCCCTGATTCCCTCTCGGAATGAGAACCAGAGGAGTCCACAAAGTGCTACTGAGTGCATGACTCAAGGGCAAGGTGTATTCAGAGGTGAGTGGCTTTAGCTGCCTGTGGCCAGGGAGGCTTAGCTGCCTCCATGTCAGAGCCAGCAGGGACCTCTTTGATTCAAATATTCAGGAAGAACGCCAAGCGTGGTGGCATGTCTTTAATCCCAGCCCTCGGGAGGCAGAGGCAGGTGGATCTCTGTAAGATGAAGGCTAGCTTGGTCCACATAGTGACTTGCAGGTGGGCTGGGACTAGGGAGACCCTGACAAAACAAACAAACAAACAAACAAACAAAAATATTCAGGGAGAAACTGCCTTGGGTGTTTTAAGGTTTCTTTTATGATTCTCTTCAGAGATGAGGAATTTAAAAAAAGCCTCCATGTGGTTCTCTTGTATAAGCATGCACTTCCCTGGGCATTGGCCAGGGCCACATTCAGTAGGGCAGTGGGTGGGCAGATTAAAGTTAGGCCTTAGCATCAGGTCACAGGGTTCTCTGCCTATCTTTCCTACTGACGTTCTGATCTGGGGTAGTGGTTTGTGGAGCAGCAGGTTTCTGGGCATGGCAGCCATTTCAGTGCCCCCATTGTGAGCTAGTGCTACCGTGGCTATGTGTGTGCACGTCTGCACACACTGGGGGCTGAGCCATACACTCTGAGAGTATAGATGTGCGCCTGAGGCTGGAAGCCTGTGAATGTCCTGAGGCTCCAGGCCTCACAGGGAAAGGGCTCTGAATGCTTTCTGGGAAGAAAAAAGTCAGAGGATAGATACTATCCGTGAGCTAGCGCCCTGTTAAAGTTGTCATTGTGTTAAGCAAAGTGAATCAGACTCTGAAAGATAACTACCACATTTTTCTCTTACACATGGAATCTAGATTTAAAATTGTGTGTGTGTGTGTGTGTGTGTGTGTGTGTGTGTAGGTCATAAAATGAGAAAGATCATGCATGAGACAGGAGGAAGACTGCTAAGGGGGAAGGATAATGGAGCAGATGTGATAGGAAAGCAGCTGAGGATTATCTAGGGGAAGGAACCAGATGGAGAAGGGCAAGGCGACACGAGGGATGAATGAGAACCAAGTCTAAAGGCATGTGAATGAAAATGATATAATTAAACCCATTACTTTATATGTGCTAATCTAAAAAATTAACTTAAAATGCAAGAATATTTTCAAGTATTCTGTCCTATTACTGCCACTGACAGAAGATTCCCTTGGGTCCCACACCCCTCTGGGCCAGCTACCCACAAACCTTCAAATTCCCTTTTCATAAGCCTGCTCTAATTGTGCCTGTGTTTTTGCACAAAGCCAGGTCTCTGCTTCTTTGCCTCTTTGCCATCAAAATAGGTCCACTGAGGTCTTTCCAAGGCCGCCTCCAGGAAGCCTCCCCACTGTGCCAGCCAGTTACTACCTCTTCATTACCTGCATCTTCATTACCTTTGGCTCTGCCTCTTTGCCCCCCACCCATTCATCTTCTGTAATCTCCACATCCAAACTCGGGGGTCACTTTTGGCCACATTTCTGACACCTGTTCTTACATCATCTAACGCCCTTGAGTCTTCTCTAGACTGGAAACATTGAGCAGCCCATTTAATGCTTTAGCCATTGTTAACTCCTCTAAGATATCTGGGGTCTGACATTCTAATGGTAGAAAAGGAAGAAGAAAAATTTCAATTTTCAGGAAAAGAGGATGGTGTGATTTGGGGTCATGCCCACTGGTAAATGGTATTTAAGCCTCCAAGTTAACTCAGTACATTTGATTTTTTCAGAAACGTTCTTCATCGTGGGAGCAGTGGTATTTGTGGCCATCATCTTCATCATCATCCTGTCCCTATCTCTGTACAATCGCAGAAAGGGTAGAGGACGGAATGGGAAGAATGCCCCGCTGCATGGGGTTTAAAGAAAGCAACGTCAGAGCTGCTAACTACTGCACTTGCTGCACAGCACTGTGACCAAGACCTCTGAAGAGAATAGAGGATGTGGAAACACAGCATGAAGACCCTGGTTCAGAAAGGCTCCTCACGTGACCAGTTACTCCAGCGAGCACTCTGATTCTGACAACAGCATTTGTCACTTTGGAATGTAATGAATGGTACTTAACACTACAGCACCTTTTGCACAAGTGCTTTAGATTGCATGTTCTATACTCAAGACAACACTAGGTCATCCAAGCAAAACAATGAACAGATAGATAGATGCCTTCATATATCCTGGGTGGATTTTGGAGAGTCTTTGAGAAGGGGCTTCCCAGCCTATGGAAGAGTAAAATGGAAATCGGGTAGACTCTTCTAACAGCTGTGCTTCTCTAGCGAGGCGTTTAGTTCCCCCCCACCCCAAGGTACTCATGGAAGCGACTGGTAAATTTTTATATGAATGTATGTAAATGCAGGATATTTCTGTTGGAAGCACCTTCCTGACATACAGTTTAGCACTTTAACTGACATTGGTAGGGATTAAACATTTGACAGCTAACTATTTTTATAAGACTACTATACAAAGAAACTACATGGAATTTATGATTTAGGGTACTTAAAAGTGTCTGTGGTTAATGTTGTATATATTTATATAATGTTAAAGGTTTTGTATATGGGATTTTCTATTTATATAGGTTTTATTTGTATATATTGAGATAATTTATTAAATATACTTTTATATAAATAAAGGTGATTGGGAATTGAGACTATTGTATTTGTATCTTCCATTTCTCAATTTCATTAGTTGACTTTGCTGCAATAACACATGATCCTAAAACTCTCACTTTAATAACTCATCTAATAACCTGTCTTTATGTTTCACTTACGCTACATTTTGGTAACAATTGGTGGCTGCGGTTCTGCCCAATATCTTCTCATTGTAAGACCCAAACGAAACAGAATTCTCTATTTGGATCAGGGCTGAGATGGACACAAAAACTGGTGGAAACAGGCAGCCGCAGCTTCAAGATTCAAGCCACTTCTTAAAACTTCGGCTCCATACTGGCCCATGTCACTTCTGTTCAGGTGCCTAAGGAAGTCATGTGACCAAAACTGACACCCCTCGGTCTACTGGGAGGGACACAAGTCCCAGAGCATGGGGGAAAAACACTGCAATCTCATGCAGACTCGGAGAAATTTCTCCATGTGGGCGCTCACTTGAGTTGTCGATGAAGGACAGAAGAGAAAGGGAGAAAATTGCTTTGGATTATTATGATGAAAATAAGACAAAAGAATAAAAAGGTGAGATGGGTAAAATGAGGGCTCTAGACTGAGTTCTGTGGGCATGGGTGAATCTCAGTCTTGGGTTGCACCTCATTTGGGGCAACCTGACACAGTGACTTAGTCATACTGAGTTGACTTAGTAATTATTAGGATGGAGAAACTGAGTTTTCCAGATGCAGCCGAACAGCCTTCACCTGCACAGAAAGAAGATTCTAACAGGATGAAGGTGACATTCTTGGTACCTTGGTGAACCGTGAGTCTGCTCTGGCTTCCAGCTGTGGAAGGCTGGACAGTTGTCATGTAGGAAAGCTGTCCAGATAGCACCTGTCCCTGGAAGTGGTCCCAGGAAGACACCAGGCAAGCATTAAAATGAGCAAGGACTCAGTTCACTCTCCAGCAGTTAGGCTTTCTATCTAGTTTGTTCCTTTGCAGCAAAGAACTCTAAGCACTGACAGTAAAACTCTAAACATGAAATGTTGGATGTGGCAGTGCATCCTAAGGAAGAATGGGTTCAGTTGATAGTATTGTCGATCACGCGTGACGCCCTGGGTTCATCCCGAACATTGCATAACGCTGAGCATGGTGGGTGGCGCACATCTGTGATAATAATCTTAAAAAGCCATTTGGGAGAAATAAAGGGAAAGAGACCGATTTAATTGATCTTTTTAACTGGTAGGCTTGTTTGTCGTATCAATAATAAAACAGTCTGTCACAGTGGAGAGGCTGAACCTTCTGGCATCCACGCAGCTTTGGTTACCACAAAAGGGGATGCATGTGTGGCAGAGTCTGCCAAAGAGAGAAGCCAGGAATAGGTTCCCATTCTCAGAGAAGGGTGCCTGAGCCCTAATCTTGAGTTCCTGCTCACATGGGGCTGCCGAAGACAAAGAGCTTATGTACCAGGTGAAGGGCATAGCAAGCTACAGGAGCTGGGTCTGACCCAGCCTTTCCCTGCCAGGAATAATTATGGCATTATGTAATTCCCTAGCTTCATAATCTAAGGAATTTGAATTATCCCACCAAAGAAAATTTTAGCAGACTGAAAGTAGGTCTGGGTACGAATGAGGTGCCTAGCTGTTCACAGGAGTGGGAATTCATGAGAAACCTGATGATGTAGTTACTGCAAGGATCAGAAGGTTCCAGGCTGTGAACATGGCCACACCTCTCCTTATCAGTGACACTAAGCAGCAGCTGCTAAATCAACACAGTTAAGGGCTTCTTGGCCTGAAACCACACTGACACCAGAAACTTCTGCCCTCTAGAGGGCTAAAAACTTCATTACTTACCTGTAACGCATCAAGCTTATTGCTAGAAAACAGAACTTGAATTCTTTCAATGGGAATTTTTTCCATCTTTAATGACTAAGTTTGGCATGCATGTAAGAGACTAAAACCAGTGAAATCCACAGACATTTTGGTTACAGCTTATGTCCTATACCCAACTCCCTGCCTATTAAATAAACAAAAGACACAATAATCTGCTCTAACAAACAGTATATAAACTCATTTCCAAATGCACTTTTTGCTTGTTCCAGGACATGTGTATTTAGCATGCTATCCTCCACCTGTTGACTTTCATTCAGCTCCTTTTACTGGACACTGGGCTACCTTTCCCATCAGCTTTTTGTCTTAGTTGGGGATTCAGGTGCTCCTGGTTTTGCATCACAGTTCTCCCTGGAGACAGGAATTCATCTAGGGGTAGGCTCACGAAGTCGTCAAGCCTAAGAAGGCTTTTCTGAGAAGGGTTAGATGCCTTTCTCTTTCCCTGTCTCTGTCTTTCTGTCTCTGTCTCATTCTTTCTCTGTCTGTCTCTTTTAAAAAGGGTCTCACTGTGTAGCCCTGGCTGGCCTGCAATTTGTTACCTAGACCAGGCTGACCTTAAACTCACAGGGGTCTACCTGCCTCTGCCCCCAAGTGCTATGATTAGAGGTGTGTACCACCATGACCAGCTGTTTGTTCTCTTTCTTGGTGAAGTTATGTGGCCCTAGGAGCTGCCACTAATCATCTTAAGACCAAGCCCTGAGACATCCTTAAAAGGAGCCGACCTTCTGGAGAGCCACACAGTGATAGAAATAAGCTAAGTCTCTGGTGACAACACCAACCTGCTTGACCAAGCCATACCAGAAGTCCCACCATGGACTTTTCACTGGACATAACTTATTATTATTATTTAGACAGGGTCTCCTGTTAGCTCCTGGTCACTATGTAGACCAGGCTGGCCTTGATCTCACAGAGATCTACCTACCTCTGTCTCCTGAGTGCTAAGATCAACTGATTATTTAAGCAAGTTGGAGTCAGACTTTCTGTTACTTGTGGTGAAAAGCATCCAAGCTAATGCTGTATAAACATTGATACAGAGGCTTAGCATAAAGGAAAAGGCACCCGAAATGAGCATTTAAGATGTAGAAAACACCTAGTATAAATTCTATTTTCTTGAGTTCTCAACTACCAAAGACTTTGCCCCTAAAATAATTTTCCTAGCAGAATGTTTCTCCCTTATTTGGTGATTCCTATCAGAATACAAATATATTGTACTATTTTCTCTCTTACAAAACAATCTTTCTGGGGGTTGGAGAGATGGCTCAGTGGTTAAGAGCACTGGCTCTTCTTCCAGGACTCAGGTTTGATTCCAAGCACTCACATGGTGACTAACAACTGTCTGCAACTCCAGTTCCAGGAGATCTGACATCCTGTTCTGGCCTCTGCAGGTACTGCATGACATGGATGCACTTACATACATGCAGGCAATATACTCATACACATAAAATAAAAATAATAATTTTTTTACATCTTTCTGCCAGGCATGGTGGCTCATGCCTTTCACAGCACTCAGGAGGCAGGTGGATCTCTGTGAGTTCAAGGTCAGCCAGGGCTATATAGTGAGACCTTGTCTTAAAAAAGAGGGGGGTGGGGCTTTCTTTGACTTTATCAAAGCGCAATTTGGATTTCTCCCTCTTCGTACTCCTTGGACACCATCCTCTGCTTTTCAGCTTGTAAATGTTGAGCTGCCTTATGTTTAAACTCTTGCGCCATCAGCAGTTGCTCAGGGCTCTACGTCCGAGGCCATTTGTGTCCCTAGGGGCACTTACTCCTCCCAGGGGCGGGGTCTGCTGCAGAGAATTAGCCGTGGAGAGGTAGCGGTGGAGGGGGGCGCGTTGAGGGCCATCTTGGACAGAAGCTGCTCCATAGGAAAAAAATGGCCCGGGTGTCTGGCCTGTGTGGACATGAGGGAGGCATTACTGACCTGGGGCAAGACTGTGGGCCCACCAGGCATGGGTGAAAGCTAACGGAGACTGTGGGCGGGTGTGGAAACGATCTGGAACAGCAGTCTGCTGAGCCACAGAGCGGGGGTGGGGGGTGAGGGTGGTGCCGGATGTTCACCTTTGTAAGTTACTCTATTCCTCCTTCCTTGGATATATACTATGAAAAATTCAGATAAAGATGTGTTATGTGGTTTGTCTAATAGTGTCAGGAGCAATGGACCCAAGAGAACTCTGGTGACCATGCCTGTTACATAGCTCATAGGCTATATGGGGATGGCTTCTACATATGTATTGTAGCCCCAGCTTGTCAACCTTCAGAGCTGCACTGCAGATCCAACTACTTACATAACACCTCAACCTGATGTCTAATAATGATCTTACTCTCAATACATTCAAAGAGAATCTTTAATTTCTCCCACTTCCCATCATTCCCATTACGAGAAATGACACTGCCACCGGCTCAAGACAAAACACTGGTATAATCATTGACTTCTCCCCCTTCTCCTGTGCCTCTTCCAATCTTAGTAAAGTTGGTCATCAAGATCTTTGAAATATACCCCAGTTGCAAAAGCCACCTGCTCCTCTGCCCTTCCCCTGCTTCAAGCCACTTTGGTGAACCTACCCTGCCAGGCAGCCTTCCCACCAGCCCTACTTACCCTTCCTGCTCCAGATGTCCCTATTGAACAGAAACTTTCAGGAAAGCTTAAATAAAAACTGGACGCCTGCCAGGCATGATGGTACACACCTTTAATCCCATCACTTGGGAGGCAGAGGAAGGCAGATTTCTGTGAGTTGAGGCCAGCCTGGTCTACACAGTGAGTTCCAGGCCAGCTGGGGGTACAGGGAGACTGTCTCAGTAAAACAAACCAAAACAGCAACAAAAATGAAACCAAACCAAACAAACAAAAAAAAACCTCTGGAGATCTGGTTTTTGTCAAGCAAGCTAACTGTTCTGAAGACCTTTATCTCTTGGCTCTGTGGATAAAGGCAGTAGCCACACAAGCCTGGTGACCCAAGTTCCATCCTTGGAACTGTGGTAAAAGGTGAAAAGGAACCTATTCCCCAAAAGTTGTCCTCTGACCTCCACACATGTGCCCACAGATGCAATGATAAATTTTAAAATGTTTAATGCTAAAAAAAAAAAAAACTTTCCAGGGATGGTGGGGTACGCCTTTAATCCCAGCACTCAGGAGACAGAGACAGGTGGGTCTCTGCAAGCTCAAG